TAGGTAAATTGCCAAATTGCTAGGATTTTTATTTTGTTTTAATAACTGGGGAAATAAAATTTCTTCCCTTTAACCATGGAAAATTATTAAAATACCCCCAAATTTAGAGCTGCACTTCAAATAAGGTAATTTTGAGTTGCAAGTTAGCATATATTCTCAGCAGTTATCAACTTACCTTGGGGAAATTTAGTATATTTCTATTTTGCAAAAGTCACTTTGCTTTTTTCTGAATCCTAAAGAAAATATGTATGATGTTGTACGTTTTTATGCAATTGGTCAATAAGTACTCATTGAACATTCATGAACGGAAGAGAACCATATTAAATACTGCTGTTTTTTTCTTACAATATTGACTAATGCTAAAATCTTTCTTTCTTTCTTTCTATTTTTTGTTTTTGAGACAGGCTCTCACTGTGTTGCCAAGGCTGGAGTACAGTGACAGGCGCAGTCACAGTGCACTGCAGCCTCAAATTCCTGGTCTTAGGCCACTCTCCCCTCAGCCTCCAGAGTAGCTGGGACTACAGACGCACACCACTGCACCAGGCTGTGCTTGCGTATAATCTTGTTTTATAGAGACAGAGTCTCTGTCACCCAGGCTGGAGTGCAGTGGCACAGTCATAGCTCTCCAGCCTCAAACTCCTGGGCTCAATAATGCACCAGCCTCAGGCCCTGGGTAGCTGGAACTACCAGTATGTACCACCATGCCCGGCTTATGCTTAAAAGTTTTTGATGTTGGCTTTTGTGGTGCTTTTCTAATTTATCTTTGTGACCTTCTATTTTCTTTTATCAGCTTTTAACCATAAATATCAGTTGAGGCTCCATTTATAAGCCTTTATTTTCTTACCTTTCACTTCTTCATTTGGGATTCATCTATATTAATTTTAGCTATCTCCAGTGAAATTTCTGTAACCCTATCTTGAGTCCTTGTATTACAGTGCTAACAGAAAATGACCAGCCAGCTTCCCTAGTATCAGATCTTTCAAGAGATGGGTGGTCTTTTTCTTTTAAAGTTATTTCTCATTGTCTGATTTTCCTGCTCAAAACATGGGTGATTGTATACCTCCCAGCTTTGCCCACACATTTGCTCTATCTATAGAAGTGGTTTCCTTGCTCATGGTTTGTTCGTTCCAGACTTTGTGCCTTTGCACACACCATCACCTCTCACTCAGCAGTCTTTGTCCTCTCTTCCTTCAAAGCCTAATTCAAATGTTTTGTCATGTGACTTCTTCCTTAATTGACCATATCTGTTCAATTTATTTATTCTTAGTCCCATCACCCAGTCAATATCTATATGCTTAATACTAGTGAGCACTCATTCAGTGAGTTTATAGATTATTATTATATTGTAAAAGATATCCAAACCCGAGAAGTTAGCTAGATTCAGTGTAGCAAAACTCTTGTGTAATAAAATATATTATACCCTGAAATTGTTGTAGCAGTAATTGACCTTAATTTTCTCTTTGTAAATATATTGCTGCAAAAAACATATTTCATCTCAGAAATTATCAACAAAGTTATAAAGTCTACAGAGACGAAGTGTTTTTCAACAAGGTAGTATTAATGGGTGCCTTGGATTTTTTTTAATCTATCCATCTGATGATTTAAAACATCAAATAGGTCGGGCGCGGTGGCTCACGCCTGTAATCCTAGCACTCTGGGAGGCTGAGGCAGGAGGATCGTTTGAGCTCAGGAGTTCGAGACCAGCCTGAGCAAG